GGCGGGCGGAGGGGCGCCCGCCGGCCCCGCCAAAGTCTTCGTGAAGATCAAGGCTTCCCACGCGCTCAAGAAAAAGATCCTGCGTTTCCGCTCGGGCTCTCTCAAGGTCATGACTACAGTATGAGTTCGGGGTGGGCTGTGCGCCCCCCTCCATTGCCTCTGCACCACCACACTCCCCGTCACCGGCCCTTCAGCGCCTCCCTTCCAAAGACCACCGTTTTCTCGGCTTCCAAAGACCCTCCCTCGCTGCCCCCTCCACTGAGGTCCTGGTTGAAAAGGCTCCCCCTCCACCAGAGGGAGGAATTGGGGGAGGAGCCCTGATTGACCCCCTTCAGCTGGCGGCCCGGTTCTGCAGCCCGCGGGCAAGAAAGTCCCCTCCCTCTGAACCCCACTTTCTTCTTCTGTACTATGGGTGCACTATGGTATGCTGAAGGGGGAATTCAGTGTGAATTTCCCCATTTAGTTTAGACACTTAGTCTGTTTGATGCCCTTCACTGCTCTCACGGAGAACCTCTTATTCCTCCTTTCCATGCCCAGATATGGCCCCCTCATACACAAAATGCCCCCCATCCATGTCTCTGGACCCCTAGGATTTCCCCTTGGCACATGGCTGGAGACTCTGTCTGACCCAGGCGGTGCCTGCAGAGTACCCTGGGAAGGCAAGGAGCACTGACTTTGGGGTTTTGAGGGTCGAATAGGAGTTGATAACACCTGGAAAGAACTACTCTTTCATCTCCATCCATGGACAATTATGGAGGACTGAGAAGTGGAAGAGGGGAAGGAAGATGGCTTCTATCTTGTGACCCCCTCCCTGGTGAGAGGGAGTGGGGGGAGCTCAGGATGACCCTCAGCTGTTCCAATCCAGTATTTTTTTTTTTCTTTTTCAAAATTACTGTATTTATTATGACGATGGTGACTCCCCGGTGCACAGGGGGGCCAGATTCTGTGTGTTTCTCTAACCTCTTTGTAAATAAATGTACAATGTTCCATATGTGGTGGGCTCTACTTCTGTGTTAGAATGGGAGAAATGCTTTCCCTTTGGACGGACATTTATGAAGCGATTGCTGTTTGCTGTGGATGTGGCAGTGCCCTGAACCAGATGGCAGATGCTAGGTTGGTCTCGGCATCATTTTCCTACCATTGGCCATTTTACCTCAATGAAGCTGGCCTTCGATGGAGTTATGTTTGGCCATAAAGATGGTTTCATAAAAGCAGAAACAATATAGGTAAAGGGACAGTCCCAAATCCCCGTTCTCAGAAGTCATCGTAATCAGTTTGGTATGCATCCCCCTCATGTTTTCCCTTTATGTGTTTGCATACATATATGGATCTAGGAACCATGTAAATATATATAACTATATATGTGCATATACATATTGTTATACTGTAAATATAAAAGTATATAGTTGCATAAATTGAACTATATGTATGCATTCTTTATTTTATTATTATTATTTTTTAAATATATTTCACTGATTTTTTACAGAGAGGAAGGGAGAGAGACAGAGAGTTAGAAACATCGACGAGAGAGAAACATCAATCAGCTGCCTCCTGCACATCTCCTACTGGAAATGTGCCCGCAACCAAGGTACATGCCCCTGACCGGAATCGAACCTGGGACCTTTCAGTCCGCAGGCCGACGCTCTATCCACTGAGCCAAACCGGTTTTGGCTTAAGTAATTAATTTGCATTTTAAATATAGTATGTACCACCTTATAAGGAATGATAGGAATTTGAGGTTTTTTCCTAGTGTGTCACTTTCTTGCCTACTTAGGTAAAAAATGAGATTATCTCTTCCCACTGGGGATGTGCCCGCAACCAAGGTACATGCCCTTGACCGGAATCGAACCTGGGACCCTTCAGTCCGCAGGCCGACGCTCTATCCACTGAGCCAAACCGGCCTCGGCTATTTTATTATTTTTAAATACATATATATATTTTATTGATTTTTTTACAGAGAGGAGGGGAGAGGGATAGAGAGTCAGAAACATCAAATGATAGAGAAACACCGATCAGCTGCCTCCTGCACCAACCCCTACTGGGGATGTGCCCGCAACCAAGGTACATGCCCTTGACCAGAATCAAACCTGGGACCTTTCAGTCCACAGGCAGATGCTCTATCCACTGAGCCAAACCGGTTAGGACTGTATGCATTCTTTATCAAATTTTTGTTTTTTGGTTAAGTCATCTGTGCCCACAGATTTCTTTATGGGAAAGATTTTCATTAAGAACGGAATATCTTTGATGGTTACAGTACTATTAAGCTTTTCTATTTCTTCCTGTGTCAGTTTGGCTAAGTGGTGTTCTTCTAGGAATTTTTCCACTTAATCTAAACTTAGATGACATATATTCCTATTATTGCTTTAGCTGCATGAGAGTCCACTGTAGGGAGTCCCATAATCTAACCCGACTGTCAGCTCTCCAGTTCCTTTGCTGTTATGGCCCTTCCTGCAGTAATGTCCTTGTATGAGTCTCTTTGTGCTTTTGTGTATGACTGTCTGTAGGATCCACTCCTAGAAATAGAATTGCTTCATCATTATAGTCTGATCATTTAAAAACTTGAAAAAAAAATGCTCACC